TTATAAAATATTTAAAATAAGTTAAAATATTAATAATAAATCTTATAAATATTTACAAAATATTTGTAAATATTTTATAAATATTTATAAATATTTTATAAATATTGTGTGCTGTCTGACAAAAGAAATTTTTTTAAATTCAGTCATATGTCATAAATTCTGAGTTCATTTTCAGATGCAAAAAAAATTTATTTTCTGAAAAGTTCTGAAAAGAATTTTTTGCATTTGAAAATGAATTCAGAATTGAAGCCGTTAAAATTATTTTTGAACTCTTTGTGTTATATGAGTTTCTTATATGTGAATTATACATCTCTAAAAATAAAACAGCCATAATTTGATAAAAATAAATCGTAATACAATAATAATATAAAATTCATTCATAATCTCTTGAATTGTACCTTAAAACGTTGACTTTATTCAGAAACAAGTATTTTTATTGAAAAAAATAATGAGAATGTCTAAAAACATCATTTTTGCCTATTTCACCATAATTTACTCAAAATCCTGATGTACTGTAGTGAACTTTATACTATATCAAATAAAAAATATTTTTTAAATATTGTGAGCTGATTGGATACTAGAATGCTTAGAAGTCGGGGACAAAGAAAAAAAAGTGCATGCATTAGACAGAAAAAAATAAACATTGCTTAACTATCTGTTTCTTCTTCATGGCTTCGAAATATTGCGGTGAGAATTCTAGTATATTATATTATACAGAGTGTAAAGCTACACCGCACGAATCATGATTTTCATGCCCATTTCCTTGCATGCTAACCAATGCATAATATGTACTTTGCTCCATCACACGAAGATATCATCCACAGTGGCAAAGTTGTATAATGATGCATTAACGCAAGCTCATTTTTATATGCTTTTATTAGTACTACTATTTGATCTTTATCCCAAATAAGACATTTTGTCGTTTAACATAAATTGTAAGTTAATTGATCGAATTGATTTATTGTACATACGAACTACAAACTGAAGAAGAGAACAGAGAAGACATTAATCTATACATCATGTACACATGACACCAATCAATCACGTAACTATTATATTTCTAACATTTGATTGACAAGTGTAAGAAAACGCGAGGCATGAAATAATACACCATCAAACACAGAAATCAAGAATAAATAGCATATTCCGTTTAATGCATGGAAGTGTCTAGCAGGGTTGGGAAGTAACTACTTACTTGTAACTAAGTTACAGTTACAGTTACTTTTTTTCAATAGCTTAACTTAGTTCCTTTTTTCTATATGTAATTTAACTTACATTTCTTTCAATAACTAGTAACTAATTTAACAATTATTTTCACAGTTACTTTACATTTTAAACTTATTTGTCAATTTAATGTAATTGGTTAAAATTTGAATACTGATTAAGGATACGGTCCATTACAAATGCTTCGAAGTATTTTTGATTGGTCAGTAAATTGTAAATGTAAATTATTTTTTTCTTTGATAGCCTTAATGATATATTGATGTCACTCATATTGTTCTATCATGATAACAGAAAAATAAAATTAATAAATAAAATGAAAAGTTACTTTTTTAATAACTATACCGAGTTAATTTTAGTAAAAGTAAAGTCTCAGTAACTTGGAACTGTAACTAGTTACTTTTGAAAGAAAAAAACCGTAACTAGTTATTTTTACAAAGTAACTTCCAACCCTGGTATCTACCATGCATCAGAGAGGAGCAATGCACTTGCACACATCGAGTTCATTTGCGAGTTCCTAGTATTTTTTACTGCTTTACTAATAAGATTGTATTATTTTAAATTAATCAATTAGCGATGTGGGCAAATAATATATATACCCGCATCAGAACAGGCACAGCACATGTAAACTCATTATGTAGAAAATCATGCGCGCTTTCATCGTGTGTGCTTAGCTTAACTGAAGCTAACCGAACTCGTTTTTCAAAAAATGTGCATTTTCCAGACAAAAGTTATAGGATTTTAAATGACGCACTAAATAGCAGGGTTGGAAAGTAATGCCGTTACCGTTGTCATTACTTTCTTTCAGTGAATTCGGTAACAAAGTTACATTTCTTCAGGGTTGGAGATAAGTTAAGTTTTTTTAAAACTAAATTAAGTTAAAGTTAATTACTTATAAAATTAATGGAATTAAGTTAAAAGTTGAAGGAATAAAAAATTAATTTAATGAAAGTTAAGTTATAATTGAATTAACTTAAGTTTAAAAAAAAGTTAATTTTAAAAAAATTATTTTTGAGATCAGAATGTCCTAATTTTTCTTAAAATGAGATTACTTAAACACTTACAATATAGATTATCAGATAAATTTAATGTTTTTATTCACATGTAAGTTGCTTATACATGTAATTTTAACATATTTCGTCACCCATCATGAGCAGGTAGAGTGAATAGAACTGAGTCGAAAAATCCTCTACCATTTTGCAATTTTCGCAATAGTTAAGATATTAATTACTAAAAATTGCCAAATATTGATCCTGAATAATTTTTCAAATACTATCAACTTTACAGAAAAGCTACAAGAGACAAAAATCATTTATTTTCTTCTTATAAAGTTGAGAGAATTTTTTTAGAATTTTTTATCAACTTTTTAGTACTGCATTTTCTTATTTTTAACTGACATGAGAAAATACGGTATTAAAAAATTCTAAAAAAATTCTTAAAAAATTCTCAGAACTTTATGAGAATAAAATAAATAATTTTTCTTTTGCAGTTTTTCTGTAAAATTGATAGTATTTGAATAAAAAATTATTCAAGATTAATATTTGATAATTTTTAGTAATTAATATCTTGTTAACTATTGCGAAAATTGCAAAATGGTACACGACTTTTCGACTCAGTTCGATTCACTCTACCTGCTCATGATGGGTGACGAAATATATTAAAATCACCCTGTATAATAAGAATCACAGCATAAAGTGTTTTTGCTAAAATCTTGCAAGAAAGAAGGATATATGTTTGCATTATCTCTCTTTCTTTAATCTTTATCTAACTTTTTTTCGTCTGAAACAACTGCTCAAGCATGTTTACAACTACATTGATTAGATATTTGTTACAAAAAATATACATAAAAATTTGGAAAATGGATGGATGTGCAGCACTGTTTTACAACAATTCTTTATCTAAGGCTTATTTCATATTTATGTTGTTAAATAAAAGGTACGTTTACGACACCTAAAATTAGTGTAATTCAAATATAAGTGGGAATTGACAAAACCTATAATAGTGAGCCAATAAAAATTGATTATTGTATAGTGTGATTCTTATTATAATGTCTCTAATCATAAAATCATTCAACTTTTTCTAAATTAATTCTTTAATGTTTAAGATTTTATAGAAAAAAATATTAGTTTTAAGAGAAATAGAAAAATTAAAAAAAATTAATAAATTGAAGTTTAAAAATAACTAAATTAAGTTAAAAATTGATGTATTTAAAATTAATTAAGTTAAGTTAAAAGTCATTAACTTTTTAACTTATTTTTAATTTTGAACGTTTTAACTAGCTACTACTCAACCCTGCTTTTCTTTGTGAGTTAATGATAACTTAGATTACATATTTTGAGTAACGGTAACTCATTACTTTTATCGTTACTATATTTTTAGCGTATATGTTAAGACCATGTGAGGACTAATAAGTGTGTTCTTTTCAGCTGAATTTTTTGACACGTGCTTTCGCATCCTGTGTGTAAGAGTTAAAAGTCCTATAACTCGTGCAAAGTTTGTATAGGCGCTGAGCATATTCTCTTTACTACATATAATAAAGAAAACTGACTTATTTGTGAAATTATGTGTGTGTTTAATATTATACACACACACACATATATATATATATATATATATATGTATATATACATTTGTTAGTTTATGAGCCTTATTTTTCTATTTAAAAATAAACTTTTAGCGTTTTCTTATATGTATACAAAGTGCATCACTAAAATCCGGACAAATCGAACAATTTCTTTAAATGTTTTTAATGAAAAATTAAATATTACAAAAAATCCTTTTACATGGCACTTGGGGGATCCCTGTAGAGCAATTATTCAATATATCTCCTATTTACTCTATTCTCGGTGTGAAGCGTTCGCGCACACGCTGTAATGTAGCGCTTCTTATTATTTTTATTTATCTCGAGATATCATATCTTTCTTATTAAAAAGATTGTAATAAATATTTAAAAAATATGATAATATGATACAAAGTATCAACAATCAGGATGCTTTCAAAAGGTCTTTCGCATTGAGCTATATGTCACCTTTCGAAAGCATCCACAGAGAAACTATCAAATGTATAACATATCTGGAAAAAGAGTTAATCCAATAATACAAAATCAATCCAAAATTTATTGAATGTAAAAACGCGTGTAAGACAGCAAAATTTGTATTACGTGCAATTGACGAATAAACTCAAGTTTGAATCTATGAGGAATATATAGCGTCGTACCTTTTGAAAGCATCCAGAGCTCTTTGGAGCTGAAGACACCTGTTGCAAGGATCGTATCATTGCAGACGACACCATTATATAGTTCATGATATCCTGTACCTGGGAACAAAACCCAGCGAGTAATATTTAATATCTGCTCATTGCCAAAATCACTAAAACCCAATATATACGAGTTTGGATATGTGTCGGAATGTAAAAATTTTATAGGAAATAGGGATGCATCGGATATCTGGAAAATTCAGATCCGATATCCAGTATTATCCGATACATTTTATCCGAATATCGTTGGATAGCCGAATATCATTAGTATCCAGCAATATATGTATATATTACTGAAATTTTATTTAAAGTTTGTGTCATTGATGTAAAATTCTATGTTTTCCAGCTGAATTTTTTGCACAGTTCATCTTTTCTGTTCTTATTTTCACATTGAAAAGATAAAGAAAATTATTATTGTTATTTTTTGCTTGCTTTCCTTTTTTTTGGAACTTTGGAAAATTTGTATCGGATGCCCTTACGAAAAGAAACTACTGATTGCAACTGTAGTACTGCAGTAGTATAGTAGTGTAATAGAAAATATAATATTCAAATACACTATTGCACTGCTATATTATTATACTACAGTACTGGTAGCTGAATAGTGTCATGTATCACTACTGCGAATTTTTCGCTGAAATTTCAAAAAAATAAAATTAATTAATCCAGCTTTATTGTTAAAATAAATATTATTGATTAGTATCATATTCCACACGATAAAATTAAGATAAAAAAACATTCCCTCTGAATTCGATAATTAATTTCATGACATTCCCAAGCGGTCACTTATCCAAAGTTGTATCCCAACATAGCTTGATCTCTGCATATGGAAACTGCTCACTCGATGATCCACGAACATCTATAATGCTAATAGATATATAGTTATAACGTATCTGATCAAAGATGTGAAAAAGATGGAACATGTACATATCGAAAAAAATTAATATTTAATATAATTATAAAGATCTATTAACGAAAATATTAATATCATATTGTCTTCTCACACATATTAAAACCATTTATGTAAAAAAAATGCATAAAAATTAATTTTTGTGTATTTATAAAACAATAATTTTGCAATGCTTTTAGCAAAATGTTAAAGAATATTTAATACATTTTTAGAGAAATATCAAATTTTTGGAAAATTTTCGGACAAATTTGTAAAGAAATTTTAGTTTAATTCCAGCAATTTTTTAGTATTTTTGTTGAAAAAAATCACTTTCAGCGAAATTTAAATAATATTCAGGAAAATTTCAATAAACCTTCAATAAAATTTTTCAAACACTTTCAGTTAAAATTTAATGATTTTTCAAAATTTTTTATTAAAAAATTATTTTCATAAAAATTTCGGAGAAATTTTAAACAAATTTCAAAGAAATTTCAATAAATTTTAATAAAAATTTCCACGAACTTACAGAGAAATTTCAGTTAAATTCTAATGATTTTTCAATATTCTTGCTGAATAATTCAACGAAATTTCAAAGAAATTTCAATAAATTTTAATAAAAATTTCCACGAACTTACAGAGAAATTTCAGTTAAATTCTAATGATTTTTCAATATTCTTGCTGAATAATTCAACGAAATTTCAAAGAAATTTCAATAAATTTTAATAAAAATTTCCACGAACTTACAGAGAAATTTCAGTTAAATTCTAATGATTTTTCAATATTCTTGCTGAATAATTCAACGAAATTTCAATGAAATTTCAACAAATTTTCAGTATCATTGAAATATCAATGTCAACAAAATTTCTACAAGATTTCAACAAAATTTTTCGACCAGAACTGAGAAAAATGTCCAGTATTTTTGATCGGAAATAACCATTCTAATATTTTTTCCGATCAATTTCGATCGTATTCAGGTTATCCGATGAAGTGACAAACACTTTTATTCAATGAAATGTAATTTTCGATTACATGTGAATGGAATAATCATATGCCTATCCGTTAAAATTTCATCTACCTTAAACCTTCAACTTGATAAACCTTCAACTTGATTGGATATTAGACTTGAACAGATAAAAAGAGAGTATTTTATCTGAGTATTTTATCAAGTTTGATATCCGATCAATTGGAAAGCTGGCCAATCACAAAATAGTTGGTCACGTGATTAACGACTGTTTCCATAGGCTCTCTTGGCTGATGACATTGGCTGCGTTCAGCAGAGAAAATTGATCAGTTAGCTTAGTGATTCTTTCTTCTTATCTATCTATCTTTCTTCTTATCTATTCTATCTTCTTATATGTATATTGGTTTTTAACTTTAGTTCTTAATCTAAATATAAGAATCGTATTAAAGAAACACTAAGCGCTAATTAGTTTTCTCTGCTGAACACAGCCATTATTTTCATGTTGAAGTCAAGCGAGCATGTGTCTCTAGCGCGAATATCTATTTGATTTTTATTATTAGGTGTTGGAATTAATTCGTAGCGTTTTACAAGTGATGGGAAGTACTTTCATTAATGTATTTTTTAATGCTCATGTGAAATAAATAACATTCTTTCATTAAAAACGCTACGAATTAATTCCAACACCTAATACGTATTTCCATTTGATTTATTATGCATTCGTTCTTATTCTTGGCTACATATACTTCAATATTGAAGCATCGATAAGAAGTGTGACGACGAAATTTCTCAGGATATAAAACAGTACTTGAAACTATAAAAGTTGTGGAAAAAATAATCCACATTCTTATAAATAAATCTTTTTCTTATGCAAAAATTTACATGTTAAATGATCAATGCTTGTTTATTCAATTTGATCAGTTAACGTTATCCGATCAAAAATATATGTAGATACTTGATCGAACATAACGTATCGAATAGTCCGTTCAAAAGATAACGAACGGATATTTTTCGTCGGACAAAATTGTCTGATCAAAATAATCGGTAACCGTTTGTTACTTTTTAAATAAATAATCCGATCATTATGATCGGAAAAAGCCTGGATATTTTTCTCAGTGAAGGAATGAATTTGTATTTTTATGTACATATGATAAGTATGAAATTTTATATTTAAAATATCTATGATAATAACTTGCTTTTAATAATACTGTAGAATATTGTTCCTGCATGTGAAAATAATAACTAAATGCTCTAATGGTATATATGTATTTTTTACTACAATAACTTTTATATTAAATATAACTACATTGTAGTGATTTGTTATCCATAATATGGGAAGTGGGTGACCTTTTATTTCATGTAAAACATAAAAACAATACATTTATATTTAAGCCCGGTCACGGTCGCTTGAAGAAGAGATAGGCTTTTCAAAATGTTGCAGATTTTGATTTTTTTAACTGAAAGCATCGAGATTAAATGTTGTTGCAATCGATAGTTAATACCCTTATTCCAAGACAGGCGGAGTCTGATACTTCTCAGAAAAGTGCAAGGAATCGCCATACTCGATAAAAGTGGTAAATTTTTTCTGAAAAAAGAAAATCGATAGCAACAATTTACGTCTACTACTTAAATTAAATTTTTGTCTACTACTTAATTTTGATATCAATTATCAAGAAATATTTCCATACCTTTTGGATGGTCATGAAGACAGCCGTACCTATTCAAATACGCACAACTTTACATAGAGTAAAAAAATTGTACGTGTTCCGGTTGTAGGTATGGCTGCCTTCGTGACCATCCAAAAGATATGGGAATCATATTTCTAGATAATTGATATCAAAATTAAGTAGATACAAATTCAATCTTATCGCTGTCGATTTCTTTTTTTTTCAGAAAAAATTTATTGTTTGAACCCAATATGGCAATTCCTTATACCCTTTTGAGGGAGTATGGGAATCTGTCTTGGAAAAAGGGTATTAATCATCAATTGCAACAACATTTAACCTCGACGCTTTCAGTAAAAAAAAATCAAAAACTGCCATTTAAAAGCCCACCTCCCCTTATATATATATATATATGTAATGTTTTTATGTTTTGCATAAAATAAAAAGTTATCCACTTCTCATATTGATCGCTATGGGTAACAAAATCACTCCAGTGGCCTCTTGGTCTATAATGTCACTAGTGCAGTAGTTAACACAATAGTGAAAATAGTAGTACCTATTAGAATAGCGCCAAGTATTACTAGTATTACTATAGGATCATAATAGTGTTAGGATATTATTTCACTTATGCATTTTTATCGTATACGACAAATGTGTACAGGACAGAGAAATCTTCAAATCTTTCTATTCTATAAGCAATCAATAGGATTGAAAAATTTTATTGATAAAAGCGTACGATAAAAGCGCAAAAATGAAATAGAGACCGTAAACTCTACTGAATCTAATAGTGTACACTAACAGTGATAGTATTATAATAATATTAAACACTACTATGATTCAGGGTATCGAGTACATAATTTTTTCCCTAGAACGGAAACGTGAAAAATTTTTATGTGTTCCCTAATTAAACCGCCAAACTTAAAATATGAATTCAGGACTTTAAAACAAACAAAAATTTTCCTCTGGACGTATGCTCACAAATTCAAGAGATTTACTTCTAAAATTATGCAGAACTGTAGGAATAAATAATTTCGAAATAATGTCGAATAAGGTTTTTATTGCAATAATCAAAATTTTATTATAAAATGTTTTGTTCAAAATGATGACCTCCAACTTGGAAAGCATATTATTACATCTATCAATAAGAAAACGAGTGGCTGACATGGTGTGTCTGTAATTTCTTTGCATACTTGCACAATTCTTCGTTTTAATGATTGAAGGTCATTAACAGATATTGTACTTTTTGCTTAAGAATATATTATACAAAAAGTCTAATAGTATTAAACCCAATGAACGCAGAGGCCAAGCCACAGATCCAGCAAGACCGATCCATCTTCCGGAAAAATAAATATTAAGCCACTGTCGAAAACCTCTGCCATAATGAACAGGACATTGAAACCATCCAATTGAAACCAGGAATTCATTCTCATATTCAAAGGAATATTTTTCAAAAGATCATAAAGTTCATTGTTTAAAAATACGAGAAATCCATTCTCATTCAAACGAACTGAAAATGGGATCCAATTGAAATATTACTCATTATTCCTAACCATTACATTGAAATATATTACATTGAAAATGTGTCGGAAATGTTGTTTATGGATTGCTCATATGATCAAATATGACTATTTTTTTGATTGATAATACCTTGTCTGGCAAATATGGCTTCATCTGGCCACAAAATGTTTTGTAAAAATTGTGGATCGTTATCTGTTTGGTTTAAAAACTAATTGCAAAATGCTCTCCTGAGTGGCACATCAGCTGGACACGTTGAAAATGATGGATGTCCATCGGTTAAAAGTGTCTTCCATATAACTGTGGGTGAAATTCCTGACGCAGAACTAGATCTTCGGATACTTATTGATAGATTTTAATCGAAATGCTGCAATATGATGGCTGTTCTTCTTTCATTTTGCAATGGTGCAAAAACTCCGTCAGTCCAGGAAATCATATTAAATGACCTAGTTTTTTTCAGTCATTAAAATGTTAAGTGTTGACAGGAGAGAGACTATGGAGACCTCTAATTGAAGACGCTAAAATTATAGCTAAAATACTGGATAAATCGCGTTTTAATTGCGATATTTGTAATAAGAAAAAGCTCCTGAAGGCGTATAGAGCGATTTTTTTTTAAAAGCGAAATAAAAATTTATGCTGATATCTCACCCCATGTGTACTACAATGCAGTTAAGATGTACATAATTTTATTATTAAAAAATTTTTTTAAATCAATTTGCAAAATCCGGCTCTGTACACGCCTTCGTAGATTCACAAAAAAAAAACCAAAAAAATTTTATGACGTAATATTACTTCTTGGAAATAAAATATCAACATAAAGACAGGTATCTGCACCGTAAATAAGAAGCATACCATTTTATTCATTAAAATATTTTTAAGAATTAAAATTTGGTTCTTTAATAGATTTCGTAACTTTATAAAATATAAGCGAAACGAGTTTCATGGCAAAATATTTCTTCTGCAGTATATAATAGAGTCTGTTTGAGTGCAGATATGTAACTGCACTACAAATGAAGTGTAAATAAGTTGGCTTGTTACTTCTGCCGATCCTTAAAGAGAATACTGATTTGTATGGCAACCTTCTGTTCGAAAATTGCGCGGCATATTCACGGCGAATAGCGTTAGCATTTCCGTCACAAAACCTATATAAATATACCACATCAGCATATTCACTATTAGAATATGTACGAGGCATGATTATAAGTTTATTCAACAAAAACATTCAACGAACTAATAGCTTTGCGAACAAAAGCCTATCAATCTTCGAACTTCAAACAAAACAAAAACAAGATATTTCAGTTATTCATTCCTACAGTTATCTGTATAACTTCAAAAATAATTTCTTGAATGAAGCATTTATGAGCATACGTCTAAAGGAAAAGTTTTTGTTTTAAGATCCTGAATTCTTATTTTAAATTTAGCGGTTTAACCTGGGAACCCATACATACATACATACAAAAAATTTTCGTTCTAGGGAAAAAGTTACATGATCGATATTCTGCAGTGACACTATTACGTATCAGTGGTGACACTATTGCGTATCAGTATTATCAGTAATGACATTATTGAATTTCAGTAATCACTATTATACATTAGCAGTTTCTTTTTCGTAAGAGTATCCGGAAAAATATCAAGTATCCGGCCGAATAATCACCCTACCAAACATCCGATCGAATATCGGATACCGGTGTCACATTCTTAATATTCGATATCTGATATCTGGTAATTTTATCATTTGATGCATCCCTAATAGGAAACGACTAACTGAAAACGCATAATATGCATCCTAGTCTCTTGAAACGAACAAAATAGATATAATTACGCAAATGTGAATTACAAAATTATATCGGTACCTTTACGACGTCTGTCCTCCTCCTTATTAGCGTTGCAGATGCCATTCAGTACTTCTACAACAGAAAAATAACTGATATAAAAGCTCTTATTTAACGAAAAGGTAATTCATTTGCAATGATTTCATTCTACGGATTTAGTATTAAAAAACATTGAATGTAGATGGAACTGGATTGAAAATAAGACTTCGATTCCTTTACATGAGTTTGTTAAACCAATTATGATCATAATTAACTCCACGTTTTTCAGATTTGATAAAAAAATATTTAAGCAGATTTTTGGCATGCCAATGGGCTCTCCTCTATCGCCTATACTAGCGAATATAGTCTTACAAGACTTAGAACAAGAAATTTTCACTACAAATAATATCATCTCTCCGTTTTATTTGCGATATGTCGATGACATTATGTTAGCTGTACATGAGGAAAAGGTTGAAGAGGTTCTAGATTTATTTAATTCATACCACGACAGACTTAGATTTACGGTTGATTTTGGCGATGAAAACGGTATTAATTTTTTGGTTAAATTATTAATTATATTATTAATAAATTATAATGATTCAAGAAGGAAGCATCATTTTTGATATGTATAAAAAACCTATCAATTTGGGGAGATATTTAAATTATTTTTCGAATCATCCATTAGCACATAAAAAGGGAGTAATCATTGGGCAGCTTGATAGAATTTTAACGTTGTCCCATCCCAAATTTCATGAAAAGAACATTTCGGATTTAATTCACACTCTTCTCAATAATGGCTATCCTCTCAAATTCGTATTTTCGACGATTAACAATAGAA